CCCCAGCTGGACCAGTTTGTGAATGAGCTGTTGAGGGATGATTGTGTTGAATGCTGAACTGAAGTCTATGAACAGCATTCTGACGTATGAGTCTTTTTTGTCCAGGTGTGTGAGTGCTGAGTGGAGGGTAGTGGCGATGGCGTCATCGGTCGAGCGGTTGGACCGATATGCAAACTGGAAGGGGTCCAGGGAGGGGGGGAGGGCAGACTTGATGTGGTATGGTAAAATAAGGTTACTATAGTAAAACAATGGTAAATCTGTGGTTACTGAGGTTTTACAGCAAATACTTAAACTATAGTTACTGTAGTAAATCATGATCAATTTTCATCCATTTTCATCCATCCATCCATTACAATACCATCATAAGTGTAGTAATTAGAGTACTAGTTTAGTTTTACTGAGTAAATGTTAAAACAAAATAGAAGAGTTTTATGCAAAGCCCTGATTCTGTGCATATTGTCTTTGTTTTACTAATCAGCCCTTTTCTTCTACATAAGAAAAAAAAATCTTGCTTTGGTAAATCATAATTATGACATAAAAGTAGAAATTATGAGATCCAAAGTCTACTTTTGAGATATAAAGTTGAAATTACGACAGAAGTCAACTTTTTATCTAATCATTTTGACATCTTATAACTGTGATTCACCAAAGCATGATTTTTTTTCTTATGCGGTGGATAAATGGCTTCCATAGTTACCTGCAATCAGGTAATCAGGGTTTTATTTGAGCTTGAGGAGTTGCCCCCTCCCTGCTGTTCTTCTCTTCTCATGGGTCACTTCTCATCTGACACTTGACTAGTAAGCGACATTAATAAAAGACTCTTCATTTCCACCCTGGACTCCCTGTCTCTTCATTCCTGATCCAACACATCCAGTAGTTGTTCTTGTGTCCCATGATGCTCATTGCTTTTAATGTAAAATAATTGATTTTCTGAAAATTAAGCTGAAATCGAATGAATTCAGTTTAAGTCAAAGTTACACAGAACTTCTGTTTCCGTCTCTTGTTAAATGTCAGTACAGGTACATATTATATTACTGACACAGTACAGTAATCATGGGTGTACCTTCTTGGTTTCTAGGGATTGTGGCTTTGTGGTCTTTAGCAATCTTGGCATTTGAGCGTTATTTTGTGATCTGTCGTCCTCTGAAAAATGTCCAGATGGGAGGCAAGCACGCAGCGATGGGTCTTGTTTTTGTCTGGACCTTCTCATTCATCTGGACAATCCCACCAGTTCTTGGCTGGAACAGTTATACAGTCAGCAAAATTGGCACCACCTGTGAACCCAACTGGTGAGCTCAAAATACTATTTCACTGAATCTACCCTCCTTCCTTCAGTTACTCACTCTGTTTATCCAATATTTGTTAATCTCTCATTCACAGTTTTTCAATCTCTGTCTGTGTTTCTCTGTCATGGACATGTATTAACAGAACAACATCCACAGTTATAAAATATGATGCTGTTGATGAATATAATGTGCCTTGCACATGTTCCTTAAAGTGGCATAATTTGGTGACAGACAAGGAGTTCAAGTCAAGGCTTCTTCCTGAGTGTTATATTGTGACAGAAAAAAAGAAACCACTTATAAACCCAAGGCTGATGCCATGCAGCCATCAGTTGAAAAATTGCCTTCAAGAGACTGGCACAAAACATTTGTGACTGGCTGTGGCTTAGCCTTGGCCTTGGAACAAAACAGTGCAAAAACATTTAAATAGGGAATGCACAGTGACACAGAGAAGACCAAGGATGGGGAATATTTTTACCATTGCGGGGCATAGTTGCATCCGTGTTGATGTTCAGTAAAGTAATGTAGATTCTGCAGATGAGATCTCTGACAGCAAAACTGTAAGTTTGTAAATTTTGGTGTCTATTTAGTCTCAGTTATCCACATTTTGACACTGCCTTGAGCTTACAGGTGCTTACTACTCAATTGTTCTGTTGCAATGTTTGTTTGAACCGAACAAAGCACGCAAAGCATATTATGCAAGTGTAAAACGTGCATGTGATCTTACTGTTAAAGATTAGTGCAGAATTGATTACCTAAGCATTATTATCAACACTAATGTTTGTGCTCAAATGGTGTGTTCAAGTCCTCCTGGGAAGTTTGTATTTATTAGTTGCATTCAAGTCACTTTTGTTGGAGCAAGATGGCGATGTATTTCTACAAAAAAATTAGCTCTTCTTCTATTAAATGATGAATAAGGAATGTGCATCAGGTGTGTTTTTGCTTTTTTACCTTTTTATTTAATTTATGAAGATGCTGTAAATTGAATCGTTATACATTCTATCATAATTGTACTGTACCATAATATTTTGTGCATGCAACTTTACTAGTTTCATTGTAAATTTAAAAAAGTTAATTTCAACAATACAGATTCAACAAAATTACAAAATCACAAATTCAACAATACAGATGCTGCATCCATTGCGGCTGACGTGTTTTCTCACTGACACACCCCCAACATGGAAATTTGGGGTTTAAAGAAAAGTTTTCCACTCGTAATTATGACTTTGTGGTGGCATTCATGTACTTTTAACGCGTAAATGTGATTTTTCCAACATGGCTTGAACACACCAAAAGTACCTGCAAGATGACATGTAGGTAAGATGATGACATGTAGGAAAGATAAGAGGATGTCTGAAGTCTCTGTTTTCTTTCTTTAAGGTACTCGACTGATTACTACGACCACACCTACATCATCACCTTTTTCATTACGTGTTTTATCCTTCCTCTTGGTGTGATCATTATCACCTATGGTAAACTTATGCAGAAGCTCAGAAAGGTTGGTAATATACTGTACTCTTGTCTTGATTTTCATTACTTGCTTTATAGCAGATCATTAGATATAAATAAATAAAGAGCAAAAAACTGAATAAAACTGGTCAAACAGCTAAGAAGCTTTTGTTTGGTTGTGTATTGTACATTAACATTGAATGTTAATTTAGTCTTTGACTGCATTTGACCTTAGAACTCTAATATGTTTAATAGGTATCGAACACTCATGGAAGGCTGGGTAATGCACGTAAGCCTGACCGAGAGGTGGCGAGGATGGTCATTGTAATGATAGTTGCATTCATGGTTGGATGGACGCCTTATGCAGCATTCTCAATTACTGTCACTGCCTGTCCCACAATTCATATTGATCCTCGCCTGGGCTCCATACCGGCCTTCTTCTCCAAGACTGCAGCTGTATACAATCCCATCATCTATGTCTTTATGAATAAGCAGGTACGTCTTTGCCATTTGTCTTCCTTATCTGTCATTTTCGGATTACTTACACATTTTACAAAAAAAAAAACGTATAAGTTTGGACAGATACTTATAAGCTTAATACTTATAAGCTGAGAATAAAAAATAATAGGGTTTTATATTTGATATATTAAGAATCGATTTGTAGTGTTTTTATGCTATCAATCAATGAAAGACAGAAAAGCAACAAGGAGTGAAGACATTAAACAACAAACTCATCTTTTTTTGCGGTAAACATCATTTAATAATTATTGCACTATATGGGAAATGGTTATAGCTATCTTGTCAGAATTGACTATGCTCTACTAGAAACACCATTGCATGAGCAGGTGGTCTGAACTTCTACACTTTTTTCTTTTATCATATGTCAGGGATAAATCACAGACATCTGATGATCTTTACGCTGACAGTTTTGGTTGAGGGGATTCCATTTTCTTAGTTCAAAAATATATGAAATATTCATATTTAATGTTAAAATTCACAGAGGTTGAGTGATCCATATATACCCAATGAAAACTTCCTTGTATCTATCGAGTTACAAATCCACCTCAGGAAATGTTTGGGTTCCTTTTAGCTTTCCTAAGGGGAGGATTTAGGCCCTACAATTCAGTTGCTTCAATTGCTTTGTCGTCCTGGGCAAACAATGGTTTAAACCTCTGACTATTTCCATTTTAAAGATATTCTGTAGTTACGCATTATGAGCGATACAGTCTGCACAGTTGCTCCACGATATCTCATTCTTTTTTATTTATTTATTTTTTTGACATACATTAAGCCACATACATTAAGCTCGGAGAGGGAAATTTCTCCTCAGTGTCCCTGTAGTGTGTCATTTGATGTAAAGTGCGAAGCAGTGATCTTTTGTAGTCATGTGACTCTGATGACCACCCCTAGGATGTGGGTCCCAGGTGGTTTGGAGCAGAGGCTGCTGGACCCCTTGAGCTGTGCACATCTTCCAGAACTAACCCAGTTCCTTCCCAGCTGTTCCCAGAATAAATTCAGGTCAAGGGTCACAGGGTCTCACATTTCTTTGACATGAGAGAGAGAGACAGACTACATTATAGAGACACGAGAACAAACACTCGAGAGTGAGAATAGGGATGTTTTCTTTAACCATATAGCATCTGTAATGCTGCATTGTATTTGGATATCACAAGAGCTCTCGAGTACATGGAGAATCCTACAAAAATGAACATGTCATATACGGGCTGTATATAGACATGTTTTATTGAAGTTTGCTGTTATTTGGTGTATTCAGTAAGAATGCAAAGCTGATTGTCAGTCTTTTCTGAAATGGATTGAATATAGATTTGATAGATCTGAAATAGAACATATACTGCTCAGTTGCCTTGGTAGAATATATAATATGCTGCTCAGTTTGCTAACATTAGTTCATGCATTAGGTAACATGAACTAACAATGAACAATATTTTTTCAGCATATGTTAATTTATGAAAATACAATTGTTTGTATTTGTTTATAAGACATTAATGTTAATTAATGTAAAAATTGTCATGTTAAATTAAATATTAAAATGTATTAGTTGTAAAAGAACATTAACTTTTACTAATACACGCTGTAGAAGCATTACTCATTTTTAGTTCATAATATCTAATTAACTAATATTAACAAAATGAACATTTTTGTAAAGTGTTATCATGTGCTTAATCTAACACTTCAACAGCTTATGTTGTATAAGCAGTTAAAGTTTACTGTAACTTTCCATTTCAGATCAGTGCAGTTTGTCTTTGTACGTTCTGCATGTGTTATTCTGTAAATGTATACCGACCGTAGTGTTTCTCTGCATTATAAATTTGACAGAGAGAGTAGCTGGTATTATAATTACCCAGGGTACCTCATTTTCATCCAGTCCAACCAAAACCTTGAGGAAATGAATATATTTACTTCTCATGACCTTATCTGCTTTAATTAAGGTCAAAATGTCCTTGTTTTTACATAGAATACATCTTGCTTAATGACTTTTTCCTCGTTTCGATGCAGAGGTTGTGCAAATGTTTAACTACTGAAAACAAATCTCTACATGGTGGTTTAGAGACTGGAAATATTAATCAAAGATATTCTTTTGTGTTTTGAGCATACTCTTATAATTAAAACCTCATTTGATTTTATTTGTGTGTGTGTGTATGTGTGGGAGAGTGATTTCTTTGATAGCACTTTAGGAAATTCAATGGAACGACTATGATCTGTGTTCACACTGAAACTAACACTCTTTCTCTCAGTTCAGGAAGTGTCTGATCCAGATGTTTAAAGGAAATGTCACCAATTTGGACTCCACTAATCTGAACCAGACATCAGACAAAGGAGCCATCACTGCCACAGCTGAGAGTCACCTTGAAGAGATGTCCACCATTGCTGCTCGCGTGCCCATGTCCATGTGCAACATGGAGAAGCGTGAGGATGACGAGGAAGAGTCGGAGCAAAGTGGGAATGAAGGTCCGAAGCAGCTCTCTTTATCAGATAGTCGAGTGTGTCCTTTGTAGAAAAGGGGTAGTCTGACTTAATAAATGTATACCTTTAGTCTAACCTGTTGTCTAACTAAAGCATAAATCATGCAGCCGTTACCACTATTGGAATGCATATGTTAGAATGTATTGTTTGCATTTTCATATGTTCTTTGTTGTTGTTTGTATTTCTTTTATGTTGTGGCGATTTGCAGTCTCTGTGTATCTGTGTACTTGTCAGTATTGCATTATTACCTTACATAAACATGAAGGAGGCAGGCAATACATTTCCATTTAGTCCTCTGAACGAATGCTATTTGTTTTTCAGATCTATCTCCTTCGATTTTGGTTCAAAAACCAATAGGCTGAATGGTTGTTGTGTTAAATCACAGGGGTCTCAAACGCTTTTATGAGACAAGCACCGGCAAAAATAAAAATAAAAATAATAATACAAATAGTCGAACAGCAGAAATAAAATTAGCTGCTTTTGAAAATGTAAATAATCACCCGGCTACAGCTTGGGACATTTGCCCCACCCCTGGCTTCTTCTGATTGGGCTGCTGTTTTGAAATTGACATTGATGAGCTTCTCTTTGTCTTAAAATCTAAACCTGACCTAAGACGGTCATTCTAGTGCATGTTTACATAAAAAACAAATATAATATAATATAATAATTTTAAATGTAAAAGCATGTCTACACATCTCAGAATCTAACATGCTGCTGTATATGACACATATACAATAACAATTCATTTAGTGAACTAACGGGTCAGACTGCTTTGGCAGTGTATCTGCTTTGCAATACAGTAATAAACCATGCAATTAATGTCCCTCATCTCTTGGAAATAAGATCCTCATCTGACAATTCAGTTTCTTGTCTATTGTTGATTTTTCAGTCTTGTTTTGAGAGGTTTAATGAAGGAAGAGTGATCAAATTGTATTTATTTAGCAGTCTATGTACACTTTGGTATATGAGTGCTTGTGAGTTTGAATGAACTGTCTGAATGTCTTATTAGGCCATAATGTTCGGTGTTTGCTCACAATTTCTGTCCAAACTGAGTATTGATATTGATGTTTGTCTGTGGCATGCCATGTAATGTTTTACGTAAGTATTTATTTGTCAATATCTTGGAGTCATTTAGATTTGGTGTCATATTTCAATTAATATGATTTTTCTAATTTATTTTTTAAAACGTCAATGTTGTAGAACACTAATAAAACAACTTGCAATAACTTTCCAGAGTGGTCACTACGTATTATAGTTTAAGACAGAGGCACATTGTGAATCAGAAATGAAAAAAAGAATTACAACAGTAGTACTGTAGCAAATCCAGTGTGTTTATTGCATCACACAGAGAACCTGAAATAACACAGAATCTTTGAGATGAGAGTTGAGCACTGTAGGTTCCCTTAAGCTCAGAATCACTCTTTCAACATCAGCCTGGTAAATGAAAACATCTGAATTCAATTTCTCTTGGCCATGGTTTGTTAACACCCTAGGTAGCGAGAGGAACCAAGTATCAGATCACAGATAAGAAAATTCGTCAGCAGAGGACCACCATGCTTGATATCACTCATAAATCGAAATATCAGAGGAATATAACAGTTTAATAAACAGTTTTGGCCTAAAGGAACAGTTCACCCAAAAATAAAAAATTGCAGAACATTTACTCTCCCTCAGGCTATCCAAGATGTTTAGCATTACATCACTTGCTCAACAATTGATCTTTTGCAGTGAATGGGTGCCGTCAGAATGAGAGTCCAAACAGCTGATAAAAACATTACAATAATCCACAAGTGATCCACACAACTTCAGTCCATCATTAAATCCAGTCTATAATGATTATAGTATAATCCATAATAACACTTCCATCAGTGAAAAAATCCATCCCCTGTTGTCCTATTATCAAAACCCACCAACATATTTGTTCAGAGCTGTTTTATACTGTTTTTACTCCGTGCTTGATCTGTGCATATTTCTCTTCAGATTCAGACAAGACAACTTGTTCACTGGAGAAAGCAATAATATGGATAGAGAGCTCAGAAGCACCAGTTTGAATTTAAAAACGCCTTAATAATGGATTTGTTCATTACAAACATGCAGCTTTTTGCTTCATAAGATGTTAATAGATTGAGACATGTAGATTACTTGTTGATTATTGTGATGATTTTATCAGCTGTTTGAACATCAGATGTTCTGATGGCACCCATTCTTTGTTTTGGAAACATTGGTGAGCAAGTGATGTAATGCTAAATTTCTCCAAATCTGTTCCAATGATGCAAGAAACTCATCTACATCTTGGATGGCCTGAGGGTGAGTAAATTTCCAGCAAATTTTGGGTGAACCATTCCTTTAAATCCTACGTTACCTATTCAACAACAAAGACAACGTTTTCTTCAAACTCAGAGCTTATGGTAAAATAAGGAAGGTGGTTTATTAATAGATTTGAATTAAGCTAAACTTATTAATTAAATGTATTTCAACCTTAATGTTTTCAAATTCAGTTTAATAATGCATAACAAATCATATAGCAGATGAAAGTGGCCTCAGCAATGGGCATGAACAAAGATGCCTTCTGAACAAAGCTGAAGCATTAGCAGGCATTCCAAGGCATTCGATTGGACTTATGAATTTGAAATATTATTCCTAGTATGTCACACAATTCTGTGTGATCATTGACAATTACAAAGGCCTCAAGATTAAAGTAGATGGGTTTAAAAGATGATTTTTTTTGTGCTCTTGATGTGTATCTTTGATACAGTCATTAAAACAGCACATGCAGTGTGAATACATCATGCCCTATAGCATACATTTTTATGTGACATAGACATCATAAACATTCATCTCACTATTCTCAGGGGATAGTTTGTGTGTGTGTGTTAACCATTAACGGAAAGAGACAGAAGATATATATCCACCTAGTTTTATTATTTTTTTTAACAATGCTGTGCAATAGCATGAACATTAGGTCAGATCTTATCACTGTGAAATTAAGAGTTTACCCATAATGCAAAAGTTTTAGGTTTTTATACTGAAAGATCTACAGCTTTAGTCATATTTATGAATGTGCCTGGCAAAAAAAAAAAGAAATGAAACATATATGGTTGGATTCTCATTGCAGCTTTACAAGCATAAAATGATTCTTCGATTGCTTTAATTATTTTTACCAAAATCTTTGCCTGGCCAGATTTGACTGATAGTGATGCTGTTCCCTTTGTTAGAATATCATGCAAACCACATAAATACACTATGAATGGAAATACATGTCTGGCTACATTACTCTTGAAAAATCTCTTTGTTCACCTTTTTTGTCTCAGTTTTGGTTTTACATTATTTTTTGCTTGGAATGTTGAATTTTGTCCATGTCTTTGTCTCATTTCTATGTTAATTTTCAGAGCTTGTATTCTACTGTGAAGGCTTCAGATTGGTATGAATTTCAAAATTTCTTGCTATAGAATTCTGCAGTGCCTGAGGTGCTCTGCAGCTAGAATTCATCAGGCATGCTGAACTTTTTTGGTGGGCACTACTAATAGAAAATCTCCACAGCAATGTGATAAGAACAGGCTTAGCTTGCTCACGAGGTCAACATGTTTACACAAACAGCAATAGGGCTCACTTGAAATGAATTACTTTCTGCAGTTTCCTCTTATTAGAAGGTACTGGAATGTCATATATGTGTATTTTTTTCATGCTATGTTATTTGTCATTTTGCTGCATTTCACACACAGTCTACATTGTTGAAATCATCAGTAAAAGGAAAACAGTATTTTCAAAAATGTCTGGGATTCTAAAATTGATTTGAGACTCACAAAAATGTCTGTTAACAGTCTAGATAACATTTTACATGAGACTTCAGACTATATTGTCTACAAGCTGCTTTTTTTTAATCAAATTAAACAAAACTGTTTTGCCTAATAAGAAATTAAATGGAAATTAAAATAGCTCTCAAAGCAGAAAGATATTTAAAAATAAAGATTGGTTTATTTTTCTCTTTATGGTAGTCTAAGAACCTCTTGTATGCACAGAAACAGCCCTTGGGGTCCCCACATGAGGAAAAGCACATCTGTCCTATATGAACACACTTTTTAATCTGTGCAGGAATGCCATATGAGGAAAATTAAACTTCAGATGTGCACAGATATATTGCCATTCTAATCCATAAAAAAATAAAATGTGATCTTTAAACAAAAATGGCCACCCAGAGAAAAATAATTTAAAATTGATGCCCAGTTCAAAGTACATATTAATCAACAAAATAACAGTAATATTAATAGCCTTCTCTAAGGTAAGTTCTCTACGGTAATTTTCGCTCCAATTAAAACTGACACGCAAGATGCACAGAGAGCGAGTCCCCGGTATGATAGAGAAACCTGAAAGCCAGTTTCAGTGACAATCGTGAGGAGACAACACGACAATGTGCTAAAAACGGAAACATTTTTTTTCCTTTGCATTTTTGAAAACTTTCGCGAACAGATAACTTTGTGGTAACACTTTATTTTGATGGTCCCTTTTGAACATTCTGTTGACAATAAGTAGGCTAGGCTATCCTAATGTTGCACCTACATGTCTACTAACTCTCATCAGAGTTAGTAGACTGTTTGCTTAATAGCTGCTGCTAACTCTTTATTGTCATGGTCTCCCAACAGACATTCTACTGACTGTAAGCAACTTTGCAAGTACATGTCAACTTATTCTAACCCTAACCCTACCAGTCTACTAATACTCTACACTCTTAAAAATAAAGGTGCTTCACGATGCCATAGAAGAACCTTGTTGTCTAAATGGTTCCATAAAGAACCTTTAACATCTAAAGAACCTTTCTGTTTCACAAAAGGTTCTTTGTGGCGAAAGAAGGTTCTTCAGATTACAAAAAGGTAAGAAAGAGATGGTTCTTTAAAGAACCTTTTACTGAATGGTTCTTTGTGGAACCAAAAATGGTTATTCTATGGCATCGCTTGAAGAACCTTTTGAAGCACCTTTATTTTTAAGAGTGTAGGGCCTAGAGTCTAGGCTACTAATACTCTAATGAGAGTTAGTAGACATGTAGGTGCAACGTTACTTATAGTCAACAGAATGTGTTAAAGGTACCATCAAAATAAAGGGAAACCAATGTTGTTAAAACAATCCCCGTTCACACTGATCTGCAAAAATGACTAAAAATACTGTATGCATGCCAGGCCAGAAGTTCGCGATGTCACTTTGTAAAAACAAAATAATGTTTTTGTAGTTAATGGTAGGCTACTGTTTTCAAAATCTTGCACTTTGAAACCATGAATGCCTCAGGTGACCAATCAGAATCACGTAGCCTATTCCATAAAGCCGTGTAATAATGTATATTATTACACGGCTCTGTGGAATATTTGATTCTGATTGGTCAGTCGCGACATTCCGAGGTATCCCTCGATAACAACCGGAAAAAG